AGTTTAAGATCATTCCCCCTTGTCCTAGCACTATCCACCCTCATAAACAGCCATTCCCCTCCCATTTATATTTTCCCTTCAAGTACTGGAAGGCCACAATGAGGTCTCCTTGGAACCTTCTCTACTCCAAGCTGAACAATCCCAGTTCCCTCAACCTTTCCTCATAGGGGAGGTGCTCCAGCATCATCTTAGTGACCCTCCTCTGGACCTGCTCTAAGAGCTCCATGAGAACAGTTTTCCAAGTAATTGAAATCTTTTATAACAGTCCCTTTATCAAACTGCAAAATGTTCAAGTTGAACAGCAAGGTTTTTATTCTAATTATGTTTCTATAATATGTAAATAATACTCACAAGTAAGCAGCCTTTCCTTCTTCCAGTTCTTTACTTTTTCCACTTGAACCACTCTTTTTCCCACAAATCCTCCTGGTGATGCACATTAGCAATCCACATTGTCGTACAAAGAAGCAGCTGACATCAGTCACAACAAGGATTAACAAAAGGGCCGCCACTCCCAGGCCAATAACAGCACGAAGTCCAAGACCATTAAAGAGAGTGTCTTGAAAGAAAGAAAATTTGAATTCATTAATAAATTAATCCTGAAGAATAAAATTTTCCGAAGTTTTTAAGTCATAGATCCAGAGGCTAAAGGATGTACATTATAAATGTACCATTCAAAAACTCAAGGAAAGAAGCAGTACTGAAAATTAAGCGCATATATAACACAATTAAAAATCCCAAAAGCCATCTTTTCTACATAACATTTTCCCACTGCTGAAAATCCAATGGTCACAGAGCATAAGTCACATTATTTAATAATAAACAATATGATACTTTTAACATTTCAAAACCAAGTATATCAGTATGGACCCTAAGAAAAATACTGTACACTTTCAACATAGTAACAGTTGATGTAAGTTGTCACCGTCCACATTTCAAATGTAATTAATTAGCAGTAGTGCTAAGGAGAATTACTAAAGAGTGGTGAAACAATATTTATTCTTGTAAAGGTCATTTTTTAAATTACAGCAGAATGAAGAAGTCAGAGAACATTTTTTTTCAAGGTAATAGTCCGCAGAGACAAACTGTCAAATAAATTAACATGAAAAAAACTAGTGTCAGGACCTCATCTTGTATAGTTTTGAACCTTGAAATACTGTCAAGCATTTCGGAATAAATATATTCCGCATCTGATACTGCTTTCTGTCATTGTACCTTTAAAGCTGCTTATCTAATTTTGTCTCAAATGATATTTCTGTAGTAGACAATAACACTATAGTTTTCAATACTGTGACTCTGAACGAACAAGTACTGCTTTATGAATTCAGATGACTGTAATGAAGGCGAGGAATTGCATGTGATCAGTAACTGAAGGGAAAAAAACAGAACTTAGTAATGGTTCACGGGCCAGCCTCGTTCAAGAAGGTATCAGTCTAGCTCAGGAATTGGCTAGTGACCATTGCAGGTGTGGTGGTAAATCCTGAGCCGATACCACTGGTGAGGGAAACTTTCACTTTGCATGCTGGTGTAGTGCATCAGCATTCCTTACTTAATTTTACCATGTCTTGGGAGTATGAGTCACCAGTGCAGTGGTACATTTCCATTTGCAGCTGCCTATGCCTTTTCCAAAAATATGAGCAAGATTTTTTCACAGAAGATTACATAAGTACTGTTTCAGCTGACGGACATAAAAACATAACAATGTGCTTTATTAATATAAATGTTTTAACAAGGTAACTGCTATAATCTTTCTCCCACTTTTACAATATACTGCGGATATGAAAATTAAGAAAATAATTTAAGCTTTCATATGTTTTGCTTAGCTAATTTTTAAGAAAATATGTATTCATCTTTTCAAACACAATTTAAAAATAATTTTCTTAATGACTTTTACATCAATGCATACTAATAGAAATATACGCTTTTTTAGTCTATTTGATATCTTTCTTAAATGGAAAATTAAAAACTTTTCCAAAGGAGGAGAGAATTTTATTTTTTATGTTATCTGTTTCATTGTCTACTGTATCTGCTGTTTTATTACAGAACTGTTCTTCAGAATGGTATCATGGTATCAGGTAATAAGCCAACATTGAATGTATGCATTTAATTGGGTGATTGAATCAGCAGGTAGACAGATATTACTTCAAATTTATTCTCCCTTTTTAAAAATGCAAAGGAACACTTTCAAATAAGCAAAATGATGGTGTAGCAATGAAAAGTTGTTCAATCTATGCACTCAAAGTTGACATTTCACGCATTTTCTTTCTCTTTTTTTTTAACATCAATAATCCTAGCTAAATATTACAAGTCTAATTTCTTATACATCTTCCAAAACTTACTGTATTCATATATTCACCCATTTAACTGGTTGCACTCTGAGTTGCTGTCGATGGCTCAGTGTCCATAAGGAGATGAATAAAGGGGGGTGTTCCTTGAGGATATTGCTACTGGTGTTATTTAACATGTTTGACGGTGACACAGACAGTGGGATTGAGTGCATCCTCAGCAAGTGTGCAGATGACACAAAGCTGAGTAGCGCAGCTGATGCAACAGAAGGAAGGGATGCTACAGAGAGGGACTTAGACAGGCTTGAGAAGTGGGTCTGTGTGAACTTCATGAAGCTCAACAAGCCCAAGAGCAAGATCCTGCCACTGCGTCAGGGCAATCCCAAGCACAAATGCAAGCAAGGTGGGGAATGAACTGAGAGCAGCCCTGAGGAGAAAGACTAGGGGGTGTTGGCTGGTGAAAGAGCTGGAGTACTGCCTCCAGGCCTGAAACCCCTAGCACACAAAAGATGTGGAGTTGTTGGAACGAGTCCAGAGGAAGGCCATGAAGATGACCAAAGGGCTGGACACTTCTAGGAAGAAAGACTTTGTTCAGACTGGAGATGAGAAGGCCCTGAGAAGACCTTATAGTGACCTTCCAATAACTCAGGAGGTACAGGAAAGGTAGGGAGGGGCTTTTTTTTTTTTTTTTTCTTTACTGACAGTGATAAGAAAAGGACTTAGTCTTAAACTGAAAGAGGAGAGATTTTGATTAGATACTAGAAGGAGATTTTTGACTCTGAGAGCAGTGAGGCGCTGGCACAGCTGCCCAGAGAAGCTGTGGTGCCCCATCCCTGGAGGTGTTCAAGGCCAGGTTGGATGGGGCCCTGGGCAGCTGAGCTGGTGGGGGGCAGCTCTGCCCATGGCAGGGGTTGGGGTGGGTGGGCTTAGAGGTCCAAATGGAGTCAAAATACCATTTCCATTTTCTGCCGTAGCACAATAATCTATTTATATATTAGGTACACTCTTTTTCTAGTTGAAAATACACTTATTTTAAGCCATACAAATTCAGTGTTATGTGAGTGAAGATGATCTTTTTTTTTTTGTTTTGAAAGGTTTATTGTCTACTTGTCCGAGTAGTCTAATAGGACTATAAATACTGATTTAAAAAAAAACAATTTTAAGTTCAAACTTCTGGACATTTCATTAAACTTCGTTAAAATTATGCTAGATTCAAAACAATGTGATTTTTATTATATAAAATGTGGCATAAATAACACAATATACCTTATCATGATAATGAAGAAAAATGCCAACTTTAAGCAAAGCCACTTCATTCTCTACTCCTTCAAATTTATCAATGAATACTTACAGAAATACAAACTTTTTAGAAATGTATATAAAAAAATGAAGTTTCTATAAATGCCATGGAAACTACTGGCAATTTTCAAGGTCTCCTTTATTCTATAAAATGTACTTTTAATTTTCAAAAACATAACTGAACTTTTTGAAAATAGTCTTCTAAATAACAGGAAAGACCAATAAAGAACTTTGGCAAGTGAAGCAGAATTTCCCAGCAAACAGAAATAACAGAGAAAGGCAAATTTTATGGGCACACAGATTTAAATTCAGAGCGAATTCTTTTTGGGGGTCTAGATCAGATACATTAAGCAAGTCTGAAGTTAGAACAATCACCAAAATGTCTACAGACTATACGAGCATGGTACACTTCATATACAGAAAACTAAAGTTATTGCTTCTGCACAAAAAGACTGGAACTTCATTGGCAACATTCATATACTCACCCTCACATTACATAAATCCTGTGACACGACAGAAGTTTTCTGTACTCGTACGGAATCACAACGTACACGTTGAACTGCTTGTGCAATATAATAATAAATAAATAATAAATAAAATAATTGCCAGTGGAGTATGAACTATCCTGTTTGAACAGGGGAGTTAGACAAGAATAGGACCTCTCCAGATGTCCCTCACGTTTTCAGTCATTCAGCAATTCTAAGTTTTGCTGAAATGCATTTAGTGGAGTGTGTTTTTTGTTCCTTTCTTCCCTTCTGCACCTCATTAGAGGTGGACACATGATTAAAGAAAAGAGATGATTCTACTTAGTCCTTAACTTTTATGGCCATTTACATTTTTAAGGAAAAGAAAAAGCAATTATTAAAATACTTCAGTAAGCTCACAGTGTAGTACCTGACAGATACATTTAAATGGATGTTCATGTGTGTGCATTATGGGGCAGTATACTTCAACCATCATCCTTTCTTTCAGACAAGTTTGAAGCTAAAGTTGGAACTTCTTTTCAGCTGCAGCAGTCAAAAGTCATGAGGTGGAGGAGTACCTGAAATGCTGCACTGGGTAATGGGAGGAAAAAACCTTGATCTGGTTTGTCATCCTCTTGAACTGTCCTAAGCTTTCCAAGACATAGGTTGTCCATGCATGATAGCTATTTCTGCACTATGAATGTTGTCTTTAATTTTTATCTGATCTGGAACCTTTCTTGGAATCAAAAGCTTCTAAAATTCAGACACTTATTCACAACCTCTAAAAAGATAATGTATTTCAGAAGTCAGTATCTGTTGATCAGCACCCAAACAAACATAGTACCAAAAAGGTTAACAGCTGTACAAGTTTTTTTTTAAACAGCTAAACAGCATGTACATCATGATAAAAACAGCAGCAATGAAAGAATTTATCAGAAATGCTACAAAATTCCAGACAGACAACATGGATCTGAAATAAGGGTCCAGTCCAGATATAAAAATGTATGCAATTACTCTAAAATTTGTCTTGGAGATGGTGTATGACAAAATACACAAAAGCCAGTTTTTCCTTTTAATCACTGAAATTATTAATTTGTTTCTGAATATTTTGAAAAGCTTCCTTCTTTCCTCTGGGGATATATATTTGTACAAAATAAAACAATAATCAATTTATAGCAGCTAAAAAGGACTCATTACTCTTTTATAAATGATATAATGATATATAATGCTTCCTTGCATTTTCTTGTATTGGAAATTGATACACCTCAAGAGTAGCACTTGGCTTGCTGTCTGTCAAAGCATTGTCCTGGCCTTATGTGAAGGGAGTGCTGTGTGCTGTGATTCCTTTGGTGAGGTTGATCAGGATGCAAAGACTCTGTCACACCCAGCGAATCTCCCAAGTAACACGTACACTCACATTCACTCACAGAGTGAATTGTATCCTGGGTAGTACATGAGAGCAGCATGTACTGAGCTTTGGTAGCAAAGCCCTCAAGAAAATAGTTTGATGA